CTTTCGGCTTGAGCCACAGCTTTCTCAGTGGTTAATTGGAGAAAGTTCTCATGGACTTTCATATCTGCCTGGCTTTGAACCATGATCCTCAGATCTTAGATTCCTGAGTACCTGGGATTACAGCTGGAGCCACTGGTGCCTGGCTGAACCATTATGTTTATTTTTCTGTCTTTTTTATTGTTAAATGTCAATTCCCAAATGAACGAACACACACACACACAAACACACACACACCCCACCCATGCACATATGCTGGAGTTTGAATTCAGGGTCGTACACTCCTGGCTGGCACTCAATCACTTGAACCACACCTGCAGTACTTATTTGGACTTTTTTTTGGTCAGTCATATGGCTTGAACTCTTGGCCTGGATGCTATCCCTGAGCTCTTCAGCTCAAGGCTAATGCTCTACCACTTGAGCCACAGCACCACTTCCAGTTTTCTGGTGGTTAATTGGAGCTAAGAGTCTCATGAACTTTCCTGCCCCGGCTAGCTTTGAATGGCCATTCTCAGATCTGAGCTACTCCTGAGTAGCTAGGATTACAGGCATGAGCCACCAGCGCCCGGCTAGTTTGGACTTTTTTTTTTGTCGGTCATGGGGCCTGAACTCTGGGCCTGGGCGCTGTCCCTCAGCTCTTCAGCTCAAGGCTAGCGCTCTAGCCACAGCGCCACTTCTGGCTTTTTTTGTCCTTATGTGGTGCTGAAGAATTGAACCCAGGACCTCATTCATGCAAAGCAAGCACTCTACCACTGAGCCACCTTTCCAGCTCTAGTTTGGACTTTTATTTTTTATTATTTTGTCATAACAAAGTTAACTACAGAGGGGTTACAATTAAGTCAGGTAATGAGTACATTTCTTTTTGACAATGTCATTTTTGCCTGGAGCTCTCCCTCAGCGCCCCCCCATTCCCTCATATAAGTTGTAAAGTTCATTTTCTACATAGTGTCCAGTGTGTGCCACTGCTACATTTATTCACCCCTGTCCCTTCAGTTCTGTGCCTCTCCTTATACTTCTAAAGACAGATAAAGGAACAAACAAGACAAAAGAGAAAGCAAACAGCAACAAATTATAAAAACTCTCCTTTCCAATTCCTGGCTTTCTTGAGACAGAGTTTTTGCTACATGCCTGGGCTGTCCTTAAATTTAGGATCCTCCTTCCTTAGCCGCCTGAGGGCTGGGATTACAGGCAGGTACCACCATGCCCCGCAAAAGGAGGCAGATAAGCATTTTGAGACCCAGTAAAGAAAGCCTTTTGCCCCAGAGCTCCCCAGCCTCTCTCTGGCCTCTGACCCCTCCCCCTCCCCCAGTTTGCCTAGGGTTCCTCTTGGTGGGGTAGGGCAGGAGTGAATATTTGGAGCTAGGGTAGGGCGAGACCCTGGGAGGCATCTTGTTATTCATGTTTCTGGCCAAGTCAGGTGTGTGGCAGGCTCGCGCAAGGTGTCCTTTGAAGCACTACTTGGTCTTCATAAATGGCCCTGATGTGTGGAGGCTGGTCCTGGCATGGGTGCCCTCATCCCGGACCAGCCTTCAGTCTGTCTTCACTTGCTCCTGATTTGCCCCTCAACACCCCCCCCCTGCATCTTTATGGCTTGGGCATTCTTGGATATGCAATGAGTAGCTGCCCCCACCCCCGGCTGTGGTCTCTGGCTCTTCCCAGCTCTGGGCCTCAGTTTCTCTATCTGAGAAATGGATGCACAGGGCCAACGGAGCACTCAGAGGGCTGTGCATTTGCAAGGATGCTGTGGGTTTCTATGAGAAGTCATTCTGTGGTGGATGGGGGTCCCCTACCCTGCCTCCACACCCTAGAGCTCCGTGACGCTCAGAGCACAAACCCTTTCCCCACCTCTGGCCTCCCCTCCCCACTCTGAGGCCAGTGGGGGGGGGAGGCCTCTTTGGGGGTGCTGAAGGCTCGGGGCTGAGATTCACCTGGCAAGCTCCCTGTGGCTGCGTCTTTGGTCTCCAGGCTTCTCCAAGCCCTGGGTGGGGCATGGCCCAGGGCTGGTTGGGCAGGTGATGCCCATCCCTTGGGTGTCTTTCTGGGGCCCTGGGGTTGTGGTGGGCCCGGATGGCAGCGGCCTGGTTGGCTACCTGACACCCTCTTTTTCTCTGCAGGTGAAGCCCTCTTGGGCAGTTTTGTGGCCAGCGGGATGGGGCCCTCGGCCTCATCCCAGGGGAGCCCAGTGTCCCTGCCCTCTGACCTCTCCTTCCGCTCCCCCACCCCCAGCAACCTTTCCATGGTGCACCTGTGGGCCACCCACGCCCATGAAGGTAAGGAGCTTGCGGGCAGGGCTGAGGGCTGCTGGGCCATTGTCCCCCAATGGTGTCCCCCATGTTATGTCCCTAGTAGTTTTTGAGTCCCCTTCCCTGCTGTCTCCACATCTGCGGTCATCCTTCTTGCTATGCCTAGTTGGGTCCAGCTGTGGCCACTTCTCTCCTTGTTGGGCCCCAGGGCCTTTGCACCAACTGTTCTCTGCTTATAACCCCTCACCTCTGCCTCCCCTGCTGTGTCCTGCATCTGTCCAGGGGTTGGCTCACACATGCCCATGGGGAATGGAAGATTTTAATGGTGTGATTATTCGTAAACCATTGTGGCTTTGCTGCTAGAACGAGCTCTCTGAAGGCTCAAAACTGAGGGTTCTGATGAGATTTAAATTTGGGGATCCCAAGTCCTCCTGGAGTCGCCCTATGTCCTGGCTGATGATAGTCCCACCAAGGCCTCATGTGAAGACTGAGGGCCTCTAGGCCCTTCCCCGCTTTTTCCTGGGGTCAGGGATAGACTGAGCATGCCTTGAATCTGTGGCCATGGCGCTTGGTGCAACTGCATTGAACCTGGGAAGCAACAGCCAGAGGCCCAGCATCTAGGGACAGGGGGACCTTGCTAGGCCCGACGCTATGGCTTTCCCAGTTACTTGGGGAAAGGCCCTGACTTCTCAGAACCCAGGTGTGCCTTCTGCGCAGGGGGGACACAGGCCCAGGGATGGTGGTGGCGTTTCTGAGCTTCCATCCTGCCTGAGCCCCACGCCGCGGCCAGCCAGGACAGGGGACAGACAGACCGTGTAAGCACATGGGCCGCCCCTCTGGGGCCGGGTTGCCACCCATGAAGACTGCTTTTTCTGTTTGGTCCACAAATCCTGGTGTATGCTGTGATCCAAATAACAAGCAGAGGGCTGGAAATGTGGCTTAGTAGTAGAGTGCTGGTCTAAGCATTCATGAAGCCCTAGGTTCAAGTCCTCAGGGCCACATAAATAGGGAAAGCCAGCTGGGCACCGGTGGCTCACACCTGTAATCCTAGCTACTCAGGAGGCTGAGATCTGAGGTTCACGGTTCAAAGCCAGTCTGGGCAGGAAAAGTTGGTGAAACTTTTTTTTTTTTGCTGATCATGGGGCCTGAACTCTGGGCTTGGATGCTGTCTCTGAGCTCTTCAGCTCAAGGCTAGCACTCTACCACTTGAGCCACAGCACCACTTCTGGCTTTCCCTGCTTATGTGGTGCTGAGGAATTGAATCCAGGGCCTCATGCATGCAAGGCAAGCGCTCTACCACTGAGCCACCTTCCCAGCCTGTGATGAAACTCTTCTCTACAATAAACCACCAGAAAACCAGAAGTGGTGATGTGGCTCAAGTGGTAGAGAGTACACCTTGAGTTGAAGAGCTGAGGGACAGTGCCCAGGCCCAGAGTTCAAGCCCCATGACCCACCAAATAAATAAATACAAATCTATCTAGCTGGGTGCCTGTGGCTCACTCCTGTAATCCTAGCTATTCAGGAGGCTGAGATCTGAGGACCACGGTTCAAAGCCAGCCCGGACAGAAAAGTCTGTGACATTCTGATCTCCAAAAACCACTAGAAAACCAGAAGTGGCGCTGTAGCTCAAGAGGTAGGGCGCTCGCCTTGAGCTGAAGAGCTGAGGGACAGTGCCCAGGCCCAGAGTTCAAGCCCCATGACTGACCAAAAAATAAAATAAAATAAAAAAATCTATCTGTCTGTCTGTCTGTCTATCTACCTATCTATCTCTAGAAGTGGCTCTGTGGCTCAAGTGGCAGAGGGCTAGCCTTGAGCAAAATCAGCTTAGGGACAGTGTGCCCAGGACCTGACTTCAAGCCCAAGACTGGCAAAAACAAACACAATCCAGAAACCATGGTACTGGCGTGGATCTGCTGGGGGCCGGGATGGGAAACGGGGTGGCCTTAAGCTCACTCATTGTAAGAACTAAGAGGCCAAGGTGCTAATGCCATGAATGAGAGCCTAGTGTCCCAGACCTGCCTCTGAACCCTTGCTCAGTGATTAAATGACACACTAAGCACCAGGCTGGCCTCTTGGATTTGTGGTGGTTAATGTCTTATCAGGTGATGTTGGGGGGGAGGGGGTGGTGCTAGAAAGAGGGGGAGGAAGGGCCGAGTCCTCAGGGATCTCCAGGAGGACCCAGTTCTAGGCAAGACGTGAAAGACCTTTATTGGGTGCCCAGGCCCCTGCCTGTGTTCAGTGGCCAGGTCTCTGGCTGGTGGCGGAGCCTTGGGCCCCTCATTCCTCCTGTATGGGCCTCATTTTGTGTCCCTCATTCTAAGCACGATCAGTGTATGGGAGGGGTCCTTTTAGCATCTGGGTTGACACTGGGAGGGAAAGTTCCCAGCATTCATTTGTGTGGGCTCCAGCCAGCTATGGGGAGGGGTGGGGGGTGAGGTGGTGGTGGTGGTGGTGGTGGTGGTGGTGGTGGTGGTGGTGGTGGTGGTGGTGATGTGGGTGATGTGTATGCCATGTGTTCAGAAGCAGCTAGTGACTGACTGGGGACACAGCAGAGAAGAGGGCCTCCAGATTCTGCTCAGAACTAGGGTTCTCCTGAGATGTCCCTCCCCCTCCCTCCTCATCACCTGATGTGACATTGACCACCACAAATCCCAGGTCCAAGCTGGCCAAAGCCAGGCTGCTATCCTGTGTGTGGTACTTTGGGCAGATTGTTCTCTCTGAGCCTCTGTTTTTTTTTTTTTTGTTGTTGTTGTTGATTTATACAGTACTGGGATTTGAATCCAGAGCTTTCCACTTGTTAGAATTCAGAGCTTTACCACTTGAGCTCTTTGCTTTAGTTGTTATTTTTGAATGAGGTCTCTGTCTCTTGTGTAGCTGGGGTGACAGGTGCCGGCACGGTATCCAACGCTTAGTTGAGTTGGGGTCTTGTGACAACACCTCCCTCCATGGCTTCAAATTATGACCGTCCCCCATCTCAGCCTCCCGAGTAGCTAGCATTGCTGGTATGCCTCACCATGCTTGGTTTTGTGTTTTTGTTTTCTGAAACTTCTAGCACTCAGTAGGTTAGTCCAGCCTGATCTCAAATGGTTGCTTCTCCTGCCTCAGCCTCCAGTGCTGGAATTACAGGTCTGCACCACCATGCCCAGTTGCTTTTGAGATTAAGTGAAAATTATAATGACATGGTTGGGCTTGGCCAGGCTTGGCAGGTGTCCAGCCTTTCCTAGGTTGAACCCATTGGGATTTTCTTCCTGGGAGATTTGAACCCAAGTTCCCGAGGGCTGCCTGCGCTTGGAGTCCAGCCACAAGTGGCAGGGCCAAGAGCCTGGCAGGTGCTGACCTGGGAGCTGGTATTCAACCCCTCCCTCCCCCCCTTGCGTAAGGCCTGCTTTTAGGGGCCTGACAGCCATAACAGTTGACCTCCAAGGAGAGCGCTGGAAGGAAGCTTTTGTGCGAGTTGTAGCCGGCTCTCTCTTCTCTCCTCAGGCTTTGCGCACCTGCCCAGCAGCCTGTACCCATCTTACCTCCACCTGAACCACCTGGAGCCTCCCAGCAGCGGGAGCCCCCTCCTCAGCCAGCTGGGCCAGCCCAGCATTTTCGATACCCAGAAAGGTCAGTGGCCTGGGTTGGGAGGGGAGGCATGGTGGGGGGATTTCTAGGGGAGTTCTCACTAGCATCCCAGATGGGCCTCCAATTTATTTATTTATGGTGCCAGCCCTGGGGCTTGAACTGAGAGCCTGGGCACTGAGCTTTGTTTTGTTTTATTTTGTTTTTTGTTTTTTTTTGTTGTCGGTCGTGGGGCCTGAACTCTGGGCCTACTCTGTCCCTCAGCTCTTCAGCTCAAGGGTAGCGCTCTACCACTTGAGCCACAGCACCACTTCTGGCTTTTTTCCCCCTTGCTTATGTGGTGCTGAGGAATCAAACCCAGGGCCTCATGCATGCGAGGCAAGTGCTCTACCACTGAGCCAGCTTTTCACTCAAGGCTCCACTTCCACCTTTTTGGTGGTTCATTGTGGAGATGAGTCTCACGGACTTTCCTGCCCCGGCTGGCCTCGGACTGTGATCCTCAGATCTCAGCCTCCCTGGTAGCTGGGTGACAGGCCGGTAGAGGGTTAAGGCTCCTGTCGTTCTCTCCTCTGCAGATGGCTTCTACCTGCCAGCCCCGGGGGCCCCAGGCGCCCTGCACTCGCACGCGGCGTCCTCCAGGACCCCCAGCGGCCCCGCAGCAGCCAAGAGCTCCGCGCGGGATGCGGCCAGCAAGGAGCGCGCTGGCCGGGGCAGCGGCGGCAGCGGTGGGGAGCCGCCCCCACTGTTCGGCAAGAAGGATACTCGGGTGCGGGAAGAGGTGGCTGGGCCTCGGGGCGTGGTAGACCTGACCCAGGAGGCGAGGGCGGAGGGGCGGCAGGACCGCGGCCCCCCGCGCCTGGCCGACCGCCTGTCT